TGCTTCGTGTATGTGTGAATTTTATTCTCTTTCTTTTCAGCTTCTATAGCCAATATATTTTTGTGAAGAAAAAACATGTAGAAAAAAGTTACTTTCAAATAAATGGAAAATATATGTAGAGAACATATTGGCAAGCATACCTCATATTGAGCCTAGTAAGATTCAACAAATTTTCTGAAGTTCTCCACTGCACTAGGAGGAACTGTATGGAAAACGTTTTCCTACAAAGAGAAAAGCTCAATTTATAATGGTCCGCATGCAGCCACCATATAATAGCAGACAGGCAGAAGGAAGAAAATGTAGAATACACACAAATAGAGAGAATCCAATAACAACCACTATAGGATTCAATATATAATAAAAAAAAATTGTTAAAAAACCTTGTCCCATACTTCTGAAAATTGATGTTCCTATGACATTTCCTGAATATCCAAATCAGATATCCTATCAGGAGTCACTGGTGCTTCAGCTTGGAACGAATGGTTGAGGGAGTTATTATATTTCAAAAATCTTACTGCATATCCCTAAACTGGAAGTTGGAGATAATCCTACTTCATAGCCTTGAATCTCTCTTTGGTGCTATCTTGCCAATTCAGAGAAGAACGAAGAGCAGAAGAAACTCTATCCAGTGATGTTCCCATGCTCATGAGAGTCCATGCTTTCATGACCTTGGTTCTCTCTCTCTCTCTCTCTCTCTCTGCATGTCACCATCAACACCATGAACCACGATAACCATATTGCCAATAACAGAACAACTAACAGACGAACAGAAAACCCTGACCATGCACTAAACACAAAGCCATCTCCACCAAAGAACGAAGCCACTACACAACCTCCATGAACAGAGGAAACTGTCATCAGAGAAGAAACACAAACAACACCTGCCAAGCAACGAAAAAAAACAGAACCCGTAACAAAAAAAGAACTAACAAATCTGAGAAGAGCAAAGAGGAGAATGAGTATGCATTCCAAAGAGAAGGAAACCACCAAAAAATAGAGCTTAGAATAGAGAATAACAAACAAAATTTAGAAGAAAACCCTAATAAATAGTTTTCATTAAAATAAAAAATTAAAATTTAAAAAAATAAAACATATACAACCTCTCTTTGCTAACACCAAGCCTTATTTTATTTTGTCTATGGAGTGAGCAAAATCTCATAAACCATCCCCTTCTGAGCAATTTGTACTATTACAAAATGTGGACAATCATCTCTGTTCTTGTTTTATTACAGGGAGGAAGGGAGCAGTTCCTCTAGGGTGGGGGTGGACAAATTAGTCCTCCCCATCAAAGGAAAGATGCAGCTTATAACAAAAACCACAAACATGGATGCCAAAATTGAGGAATCTAGTCTGCTACAAGCCCAAACTGCAATGGGTGTTTCAATGCTAACCGTTGCAAAGTGTGTCCGAGATTGCTTTCTCCTGTGCATTACCCGATAATTAAAAATGAGTTCAGCAACAGATTATGTCAAGGGAAATACATTTGTAACATAAGGAAACCTAAAGTAAAATTTTGGGCCAACACTATTCATTTGAACATTTTGTCAAGACATGTGACACATTATTTGTCTCTAGGATAAGAACCAAAAACAGGAAAATCTATATATAAGAGAAATGCTTCTAAAACCTTTAAAATGAAAAGAACGAAAGATAATTTCTTTCATTTAAATGTGGAAATAAAACAAATCTACTTTGAAATTTGAATAAGCTAATGTAGGGGAATATTTATTATACAAGTCTGAGTAATTACTTGAACATCAAAGCTCTATGGAAGCAGTGAATGTATATGGTGAGAAAAGAAATTAAATGAGTTAATGACTCAACAAACCACACAGAAAAGTAAGCCTATAATTTTTAAATAAAATGTGTATGTAATACGATTTGGTTTTTGCTTCAATTTCTCATGACACTTTTTGTAGTTCAAGAGACAATTTCCCAAATTCTAACAGGGTAGCCATTCAGGCTCCTGCACCTGACCAATCCACCAAAACTATGGTCCCATAAACTCTCTTAACCTGACATGACTAATGTGGTTTATGTCATAAACAACTTTCTAACATTTTAGCCACTTGCACAATGATGAAGATTGCTTACCTGAAAACGTTCTTTAAAGAGCTCCCCATAAGATGTGTTTGACCCCTTCACTTGAAGAATGGCTATTGTTCCTCATCTTACAGTTGCTAAAGTCACCTTCAATGTCCCTTAAAGAATAAAATTATGGATCAAGAAAACCAGAAAACACCCATTACCATTCGATAAAATTTTCATCAAAATTTACACATTGGCGTACCGTCGGAGGGAACAGCATGGTCCCTATAGGATGCCTCGAGTGAAGCCAGCTTTTCAATTAGCATTCATTCTGTATCATTGCCATTGCACAACATCAAGTCAATGCACCAAAAAAAAAAAAAACAAAGAAACATATATAAGGTGTAAGCTAAGAAAAAAAATCCTTATTACCAATTATAAAGTTATGGATCAAATAAACAATCAAAATTGAGGAAACTGATGTTTTTTTTAATTTTCTTCATTTTCTATAAGCATTATAAGAATTGCAATTATAAAGTGCCAAACTACAAACCACTTTCACAACCCCTAGGCTTGAATCTGATACAGAATTTATCCTATTTTTTTCTTTGATAAGCAGATTCTGATTGATTCTCACAAACAATCATATGATCATATCTAGTCACTGGGTTGATCCATTTAACCAATGCTTTAGATTTCTTTACATAAAAAAAGAAGAAACAATTCTCAAATTTGATTCCAGCTTTATCCAAGTTTGTCCCTGTGATGGTTCTGGCTTCTGATTCTAAAAAAAAAAAAAAAAAAATCAGAAAGAAACATTTTCAAAATGAAGATGCCTCACCTCATCTACTTAGGATTTCAGATATAAAGTTTTAATTGCAAGACAATGGAGCAGGAATAGATGATCTCACATCACTGTTTGCTGGTTCAAAAATTACTATCAGGAATAATAAAAGAAGACCAGGTCCATCCCCGATGGCCTGATTATTACAAAGGTACTAATCTTTTCCACAGCACCGGTAAAATTGAAGTTTCTACAAGTAGAAGTCTCCCATTGTCCCAAGGACCAGCTAAGGCCATAAAGCTTGGAAGGTTGATGTGCTGGAAACCTAAAAAATTTATTTGGTAAGCATGCAATATTCAAATGTAACACCAGTCATAATGATACATGCAGATTAATGGAGAACAGGAGAACAATAAAGCTTCAAAGCAGTGGGACCAAATTAGTTATTGGGCACCCATGTGCTTGCACTACTAGTCTTGAAAACCATACTGTGTTTCAAACTTCGGTGGGGAATGTACAATGCTTAGATTGGAAAAGGGAGAAAAGAGAATACAATCTGGGGATTCTGGACAAGATCCCAGACCAGAAGACCTCAAAGATGCAAACCAAGTTGCTAAGGATTGATGCAGGGAGCTTGCAAATGATGGGTAAGAGACCAATTTTGAAAGCAACACAAGGACCTAATATTATTTCAAAGGTCAAACAATTACCATTAACCAACAAAGCATGTTTAATGACATAGCTAGTGAACTGAAACAAAAATCTTGAATATGTGAACTCCAATGACATGGCTACTCACCTCTATCCCAAGGATCCTGCTAACGCCATACATGTAATTAAGGCCACACACTATTTCCCTAATAACTGTGTTAAGCCCAGGGCATAGACCAGTGCACGTTACAATACATGCATGCATTTCATCAGACTCAAAATAAATCTGAGCAAGACAAAAGGAAGTCTTGTTAACATATGCTCCCTGCATTTTTTTTTGGAATGAAGAATACTACAGAAAAGTATACCTTTTGACGTGGTCCAACGCGTCTAAAATGGATCTCTCTTGGACTAGTCTTGTGAACCACAATCTACACAACCAACATATCATTCAGTAAACCATGGTCATGGCTGTTTAAGCATTTGAAAAATGGTCTCACCTACTATCTCTAATTTGTCAAAAACAAACCTTTTGAGGCACCTTGTGCCCTTGAACAAGGTTCATAGTAAGTCATACCATAAACCTATAATCCAGAAGATTCGTTCTCCCATAAATAACAAGTAAATAGGATGAGCTAAGGAAAATGGATAAGACATTAAAACAACAACTACCTTTTGGGGAACAGTATCGTCGATGTCCACAAAATACTGCCTGGCAAAAAGGAATTGTTTTGATCAATCATCAATTTTAACCAAGATCATTCATTCAAAAGATTATGTTAAAATTGCTGAATGATTTGTGGCAGTACTCTCTTTCGTTCCCTTCCCTATCCCTCACAGCCCTCTTCGGTCAACAAAGTACTCAACCAACTCAAAAATCCCCCACTCAGATCCCAGATCCTTAACAGCAGAAACACATGAGAAATGAAACAATAAAAAAAAAAGTGAAAAAAAAAGTAGAAAAAAAAACAAACTACACACAGAGAGAAGGATGATCGACGCTGCAAAGCAGGTGAATCAGAAGTCTGTTTCGTTCTGAGGTAATTTGCAGAAAGAGAGGATGACCTGCTTCGATGGCGGCCTAACAATTCATAGGAGTAAACTGAACTCCCAGACTAGGTTCTTCTACCCGGGGGCACCTTCTCGATAGTTGCGCCGGTTTCCTCGTCTGAACGGTGAAGCTACAAGATCTTGGTCTGACAACGTCGATGAACAGAGGAGGTGCGGCTTTGGCCTCAGGTTTCCGGCATTCAAACGATGACAACTGTTAGCAGCAGGATGAGAGCAGGAGAGATAGGAAGGGAACGAAAGAGAGAGAAAGAGAGAGTGAGAGAGCACGTGAGAGAGAAATAGAGAGACTAACGGGAAAAATTAAAAGAAAGATCGCCGTTGCAACTGTTAGCAGCGGGATGAGAGCAGGAGAGAGAGGTTTCTGTTTCTGTTTCTGTGAGCGAGAGCAAGAACGAAAAGGAGAGAAAGGGATGAGAGCAGGAATGCGTGGAAAACAAAGAAAAGGAGGATACGTGTTGCACATGTGGTGGCCGGATAATGCAATAGAAAGACTTCATACATATAAAGTGTAAACACGTGGGAATGTACAGTAAGATTCCGTTTTGCGAAGGGGGAGAACACCCCTTTCGCTTTAATATATATATATATATATATATATAAGATTTGCCGCATGCAAATATATAAAAGGGCATTAATTCTTCAGAGATTGTACAAGTGGGAGTGGGAGACAGATCTTCTTTCAGTGATCTAAGGCTGCATGTCTTTGGTTTGAGACAACTGTGATCTAAGCTTGTACGTACAAGTGGGAGTGGGAAACAGAAACTTCTTTTTGTTCCATGGGCCGGGGGGTAGCCCAACCCGTTCCCAAAGCCTCCACAAACTGGACCAGCCAGAGACCTTAATTAATTACAAATTGAGCGGTTGAGCCAGCTATGGTATTGGCACCTTCAAGAGAGAGAGAAACATAACGTTGAGGAGAAGTTAAAATGAATTTCAAACTTATTGTTTGTTAACAAAACAAATCCCAACCAATGGGACCAGTGTCATACATGAAGGAGAAGTGGACTAATAAGACATATTGGATTGGATCGAACAATCTGGTCCAAACTATTTATTAGAATGGATTGGACTTGGTCTGTCTGTAATAAATTTATATATATTGGATTTGATTGGATTAAACTAATATCTAATTCACTGATATAAGATCAAAATTTAGGTATCAATTAATGGATCAGGTTTGGATTAAAATCAATCTAAATTAAAATGAATTTGAATAGATTGAACGGCCCGGACATTGAATTGGACTACTGGTCCAAAATATTCATTGAATTGGATTGGACCTAATCCGTTTATATATAATGGACTCACCTTGGACTGGATCGGTTTGGACCAAATCCAGTCCAATTGACACCCTTAGTCTCATATAAACCAAAGTAAGAGTACTGTGGCGATTAGCTCTAGTGGGCAGGCCAGAGACTGGTCATTGAGCTACAGCTAACGTTAATCGAAATTTAATTACTAGTTATGTTACCATGCCATGCTTAATTAACCAAGATGCCTAGTTTCTATATGTACTGGTCAGAAGAACTTGGATAATATTTCAACTTAATACTAACCAACCGGCTAGCTAATTAAACAAAAACCATTTAAATAAACCATTCCAAATGTGATCAAACCAAACCAGAGAGGGTGTAGGTAATTAAGGAAGGGGAATAGCATTAAAAACAAAAGAAAACTCATTGAAGACCATCAGAGACGGTCTCACTGCTACCACTGAGAAGACTAGAATATCCGCAATTGCGACCTAGCATTAAAGAAAAAACTCAAAGTATGACTACTGTGCCCAGCCCAAATAGAGAAATACTAAAACTAGCCAAGACCGCGGCGCACCATGGCATGAGCTGTCCCTATCCCCCACCCGCACTCTCATCCCATAATAACTTGTCTCACCATGGCATGAGCTGAAACCCAAAACAAGGGCTTCCTTTCCCTTCCCCACATATAAAAGGTACCCAAAAGTGCAGATTAGTTTTATATTAAAACTATGTGCAGTGGATCACTGAATCATCAACGAAGTTTTGTTCTTTCTTTCGTATGATAAATTGGTTTGGGGCTCAAAATGGCCCCACACATGCATGTTCCTCTTCCTATGCATACGTATGATCTATTAATTAATTTGAGTTCCGATCTAAAACCCTTATCATGTAGCCAAAATTAAACCTTAATTTTGAGACAGCTCTAATATTAATATATAAAATGAAACTTTCAATGTCCAGTCTTACTTATCAAGAACACTGATAAAAATATGCATGCATGGGGCATGGTTATTGATGCAGACTGAAGAATTGTACAAGTCATGCATGCATCCATCAGAACAGGTTCCACCTACTTGGTGGGTGGCTCTGATTAGCTCATAAAAAAGAAATTGGGAGACCCGAATTTGATTAATTCTATATATTCATTTTACATCTGGGAGTGGATCGTATCAAAACATAGACCCTAATTTCCTCATTTCTTAATTTTTTTTTTTATTAATTAGTAGGCCCTGTATTTAATTACTCCATCTTTTTCTTAGTGAAAGGGAATTTAATATAAAATTAAGTAACATCTCTACTGGCATGTAATAAATTATTCCCCCAAGAAAAAAGAAAAGTAAACTGACACACTATATATATAGTGGGAGAAGCCAGACCATAAAAGAGAAAAGAAACCCCGGCCTAGCTCGTTTATGTTATATTGATAGCTAAAACCTTCATCTATTTATTTATTCCCGCAAAGACTACACTATATAGTTTTTCTTCATTTTGCCTCCATGTCCATCCAACAATTTCCAGCTGTGTAGGTGTTTCTCTGTCCAAGTTCCAAAATTTCTGGTGGAAGTTCTTCCATCCTGGAAAGGCTAAGAGATTCTCTTCTTTTCATGGTTGCTGAAACAGTTGTGACATTAATTCTTCTAGTGCCCTGCATGTAAACTCCCCCCACCCAGCAGAAGAAAAAGAAAAGAAAACAGATTGGGGAACAATGATTAGAAGGGTATTAGTACTTTGGTATACATTCTTTGACTGTACGGTTTTTGGATTCAAACTGAATCTTTCATTCTTTCTCAGGTGTAAACCACCATCTTTCTTCTAGCTATTATACTCTTAGCATGCATAGCATATATTATAGAGTGTAAAAATCCATTCCGACATCATTTGATTAAGTATTTTTATATATTTTGACCGTAAGGACAAATTCTCCTTCTCCATAAAATTAAAAGAAAAGGATAAGAAAATTCATTCTTTTGTGAGTGCGCCCAGGACTGCAAAACAATACCCCTTAATAAGGGACTGTTTCAGAATTCAGATATTCTCTTCTCCATCGGGTTTCTCACTCATCAGTCATTTCTGATCCAGGAAATAGCAAAACCCCTTCAGTCCTGTGGGTTTTTGAGCTAGCATGAAGCATGCGTTAGCTGACTGTAACTGTATACCTATTTGGTTTCTCTTTCTAGGAGCATTAACCACTCCAAAACACTTAGACTTACTTGTCTTTTCAATATTTATTTGGAATTGCCTATTAAATATCTGTATATAGAGCTTTAATAAAAAAAAAAAAAAATTAACGAATAGAAATAGTCGTTAAGAATTTATAATATGACTGGACTCTCACCATCTATATAATACCTTAATCCGTCACCAGTTTCCACACCGGAAGCCACCTTTCCCTCTAAAGAACAAGCGCCAGCAACAGACTGATCCCTACAACTGCACCATGTCGCATCGAACAAGCGATGGTGGTGGTGTCACCAACATTGTCAACGGTGTCACCGTGGTCGACTGTGAGAAACAAGTTAGATCATGGAGGCTTCTTCGCTCCTTTCTGGAGCTCCTCATCCCCAGCTGCAACTGCACCACTTACCTAGAACAACAGAGAGAAGAGGACGTCGAAGCAAGACAAGGGAAGTATATGACCAACAACTACTATAATTCACGAAGAAACTGCAATTCCACCATCATCAAAACCACCGTTACGGGTACAATCTATGGGCACCGCCGTGGGAAAGTTAGCTTTTGCATCCAAGCAAACCCAGAGACCGCTCCCATCATCCTCCTGGAACTTGCTGTTTCCACTGCCCTCCTTGCAAAAGAAATGGAGAGTGGGCTTGTCCGAATTACACTTGAGTGCAACCTCAACTCTGGGACGAGTAACCTTCGCTCTTCAGCTCTTTTGTCAGTCCCACTGTGGACCATGTACTGCAATGGGAGAAAGGTGGGCTTTGCAATCAGGCGCCGACCTACGCAGGCTGATATGGACATTCTGTGGCAAATGCGGTCTGTGTTCGTGGGCACCGGCATTATTAGTGGGAAGGAAGAACTCGATGGTGACAATGAGCTTATTTATCTACGAGCCAAATTTAACCGTGTTACTGGATCATCCAACTCCGAATCCTTCCATTTCATCAACCCTGATCTGGACATTGATCAAGACCTCAGTATTTTCTTCCTCCGCACTCAATGACTTCCGAGGTGCCTGTCACCCTTTTGAGGCCATACCATTTGGAATTTGCTTAAGAATATGTTCTTTCTTTGCTTAAGAATATTGTTTAATTTTCGGAGTTGCTAATTAACGGGTTTCAAAAGTACTATAACTTTGTACTTATCTTTTCATCTCGATTAACTTTCTGCTGAATTTTTCAAGTATCAATTAATACGATTGATGAATCCATTTGTAGGTCGGATATATGCTAGAATGATATTACGGTATTCGTTTTTTCTTCTTTTTTAATCCGGATTAACTGCACTTGATGGCTATATTCGTTTTATCACGCCTCCCTTCTTTCTCAAGAAGGAGATAGCAAACATGGCTGCCCACAACGTTGCTCAAGTTGCTGTTAATAACTTGGTAGGCTTGTCCTGATTTTTTGGCAGCGGTCGTTTCCTCTGATATGCTTAATTGAAACGAAAGCCCCCTTTTGTTCAAAAAGAAAAAAAAAAAAGGGTTGTGCGTTAGGGATGTATAATAACAAATAATAACGCCCCATGTCAACTTTTTATATATGACCTACGTACAACAATTCAATCTTTCACTCCCCTAACACAGCCAACAAAGTTCAAGTAATCCATAAAAATGGATTTAGTTATATTTTACATGGAAGTCAAGGAATGTATATTTTCAAGAAAATGTTGAGGCCCCTTTTCTTTTTTAGGAAGTTACTTATCTTGGTAAGTATTTTTCGAGAAAATATTTATCTGGGTAAGTGTATTTATCCATATTCTTTTATTTCTTATAAATAAGATAATGACCGTTTTAGCCATAAAAATACATTATTAAGGGAAAATTTGTTTTTTGGATTTTGAGAAGGGGAAAGTTGGTCAATAGGATTTTGGTTTCCATTGAGCAAAAAACCCATGTTCTTTTTTTAGATTTATGTGAGGATTAGGAAAATTTTATTTTCTTGGGACAAAAATACCTCTTTTATTAATGGAATTTTAGGGTTAAAACAGTCAGTCTTGTTTACCTGGGAAATAAAAGAAAATAGGCAAGTGCACTTATTCAGGTAACACTTACCTGGACTAGTAACTTACTGAAAAGCAAATGGGGCCTAAAAGGGACAATTTTGTCCTGTCCAAGTGTTAGCAACTTTCCCCCAAGTGGGAAAGTTACTTACCCACTTAGGCCTCACTCATTTGTAGGTGAATATGCGTGGGAAAGTTGGTCAAACTTTTTCCCATTCGCCAACTGCTCCATTTTTTTTTTTTTGCATTAAGCAATGGGCCCCATAGAAAAGTTACCCTTACTTTCCTAGGTAAAACTTACCCATCTCCTAGGTGGATAAGTAACTTTCCCAACTCGGAGAAATTTTTACAAAACATGATAGAACTATTTTACCCATTTTAATAGTTACTTTTTGTGGGTAGAAATGTTATTTTATTATTTACATATAAATCCTGAAAATCAAAAGAACATGGGTAAGTGCATTTACCCAGGTAAATGTTACCTAGGAAATATTTACCCAGGTAAATGTTGGGTAAATGCACTTACCCAAGTAAGCTGCACTATTATAAATGAATAAGGCCTTAGGGTTAACTTTCCCCCAAAGTGGGTAAGTGATACCTAGGGGCCTATATCCCCTAATAAATCTGGAAAAAGACTATGGGTATCTTGGTCAATGGGAACCAAGATCCCATTGACCAACTTTCCTCCTCTCAAAATCCAAAAAATTGAACCTGGTGGGAGTGTCTTGAGCCACTCTATATAGCTCATAATAATAAATAAGGTAAATTATGAACTACCACATATACTCAGGGGGTAGTGACATTTATTACATTTAAAATCTCCTTGAACTTCTGGATTTCAGTACTTTTTATAACATTTCTACTCAAGATTCGATGAACTGAGAAAAAAGCTATCAAAATGATGAAATGGGCATGCTAGAGCACAAAATCTCTTTTGGATAGGGTTATTGTGCTTCCAAACCCTTGCCAATTAAGAAATAAAGTTCATCATGAGTGTATGAAGGCACTAGGGTTGCAACTTAGGTGAGCCCTGGGCCTGGGCCCAAAACAGGCTTTTAAATTTTTCAGAATGGGCTCATGCTTAGCCCTTAGGAAACCCAAACCTGGCCTGACTATATATATATATATATATATATATATATATATATATATATATATATATATATATATATATTTGCATATTTTTTAATAAATTATACATATATGCATACATGCATACATATACAAACATGTATACCAGTTTTTAATGTTGGCTAATTGACCCACTTAAGCCCAGCACTGGCCTGAGACCAACCAGACTGCATCAAATTTTAGTGTAAGCAAGAGTTGGGTTGAATAATTCTGACTTGACCTCAGACTCGGGCTCAACCAGAGCTTTAGGGCCCAATTCTTAGGGTTGGGCCTGGGTTGAGCTAAAATCCAGCTCAGCCCGCCTGACTTGCACCGTATAAGGCACAATAACTCAGCCCAAAAGAGGTATTGTGCTTATCATGTTCATTTTTTCATCATTTCATTTTGATAGCTTTTGCTCTAATCCATCGAAACTCAAATAGGCAATTTGTAATTTTATCTTTTCAGGGGGGTGGGGGTTCTACCAAAAAGAGTCCAGGGGGTGTCACAAAATTCAGTTCATGGAGCGAAGTGTCACCCCTCTAAGTACAGGGTGACAGTATAATTTACCAAATAAATTATATCTATTTCTATCTATGTAGTAGGGGCGTAAATGAGCCCAGCCACGAGCTATTTAGGCTTGGCTCACAATAATTGAGTTCGAATTGGGCTTGACTCAAGTTGAATAATTGGTTGAGCCGAGTTTGAGTTTTGCAATACCTGGCTCAAGTGGTCCATGACTCGATTTAAGTGAAGTTCAAATAACTCGTGAGTATCAACTTGAATCGAGTTTGAGCCTAATACATGAAACTTAATTGAGCTTAAGTCAAATTTTGAATTTGAATCAAGCTCAAGCTCTAGCAACTGATACTGATTACACCCTTAATGTATATCACTACTCAGATACCAAAACCCAATTAGGGGAATATATTGTTTTCTTGTATCATGCAGTTTCTTCTCCGACCTAATCCTTTCAGCCCAGATTTGACTTCAAAGTATTCCTTATATATATCCTTTGTAAACTTTAGAAATAAGTTTGGGATGATATAAATCTATAACTACCGACAAAATCAATGTTACTGAAGTTTCTAATTAATTCTTGTTAGGGAAAATCTATGCTGCAAGAATGATATGATACTCGAAGGACTTTAACCAATCAAAACCCTCGAGTGAATTTTGATAAAAATCACCAGCAGATTGGTCACCACTTTTATGATACTGATGGATTAGTTATAAGTTTTTCTTGTATGATATCTTTCTGGTATCATAATGGAACCCTTATTGTTGTAATATGGTTTTTTGAAAAATTAATTCAATTAACAATCATGATATTCTATCTTATCCAACTTGGCCACAAGATACAATTTTAATCATCATTTTTGGAAGAGGTCACAAAAATTAGAATATCACCATCACAACAGTTTACAGTCTTATGCCAAATTGGCAATTACGTGGACTTGGCTACTTGCATTTCCTTGACCGATATTATTAAAAGAGATCAGAAAATGCAAATTTATTCTCAAGGAAACAAAGCATGACAAGCCATATGGAGTTTATTTTATTTCAGTTTTAGCCAAGATGACTGTTGTGTATCTGTTCTTTCTGGGAGGGAGATTGATTTAAAGTTATATTTGGTTTGAAGGAAAAGGTAGGAAGGAAAGAAAAGGTAGAGAATCCTATACAAGGTTTGTAAAGGTTTCCTTATTTTTCTCTTCCTTTCCTTACTTTTTCCTTCAAACTAAACACAGCCTAAAGGTTATATTATCCAAAGAGATGTATTCTATTCCTGATGTTGAATGAAACACGCACGCCTCAGGCAAATTTTTCTAAATAATTAAGTAGAATGAGCAGAACTCTCCTGATGATCCAAACATTTCATTTTTTTTTAATTTAAGTATTTGTCTGAGATAGATATATTTGCACAAGTTGCAACTAAACACCTTCCATCGTCCATAGCATTAAGGTCCCATATTCCCAGTATATTTGATTTAACGCTGCTCACCAGTCTCCATAGCATTGCCAACCTCCTAATTAATTAATTAGTTGATGAAGAACGGAGACGCATTAATAGGACAAAACAAATTGGCATTTGTTTCTCTGGAAACCATTATTTCTACAAGTACATGTCATAGTGTTATCCAGAGGAACTCTATTATGGAAAGGAAAAAAATAAAAATAAAACAACAAAAGTAAAGCAATTTCATATTATTATCTGGAGCTAGGAACCATATTATCCTTTTTCTATTATAAGTGTAAAACAAGCCAAGCCGAGCTGGGCCAGGGGTTGAGGCCCGCAGGTATCAATCCCCTGGCCAGTACGGCCCATGGCCCATTCAAACCTGACATGACCCACACTAAACCATCATCTATATACTGACGAAAGCATTGCAATTCACATAATTACTGAAATACTAATTTGACATTCAATCATTCTAGATAAAAAAAGGGATGTAATTCCAAGGCCTAAAATGCAATAATAAAGAGCTAGGGTTGTTCATCACTTCCTCTTTCTTCTGATTTTATGTTTCTTCTTTTCGGATGGTGGGGGTGGGGTTGTATTGTGTTTCACATTTTTTTTGTTGGTTAAAGGTTGACGGCACTAACGGCTTTTCGCAAATTGAAAATTTACATAAAATAATTGTAAGTTCTAAGTACTGTCATGGAATATATCTGTACTGTAGCATTAGCTGCTTTATATATTCAATTCAAAAGAGTTGAGATGAAGCAAAATGAGGTGTTAATACGTTATTTAATTGATTATTATTGGTGTGTTTATTTGCTGCGGTACAAAGTGTGAGCCGTGAATCAATACATTACACCCGACAAGAAAGACAGCCAAATTAGTGGGAGAATTTTCGTTACTGCTGCTTTTTGTTGGTGCACTCTAGCTCC